TCTGCTTGACCACACAATTTCTTTGGGGTTTTTTGTTTGTTTGTTTTTTTTTTTCCTAACCTGTATGTTTGCTACACTTTAAGTTTTTGGAAAATTTAGACAACTCAGTTCTCTGCCCATCTCTTAGTAAAATAAGTACCTTAGGAAGAAAAACTGCTAATTTGAATGGCTAGAGTCAAAAAAAGAAAAACAAAGCTAACAGAAGAAAAGATAAGGCAAATGTAAGGAAATAATTTGAGAATTTACTGTTATGGACTTCTTATAAGGTGAGAAACTTGTCAAATACAGCCAAGATGTCTGCTGTAGCTTATCCTTATATACTACTGTCAAAGTGTTTAGCCTCACGCTAGACACCTGTCATCTTGCTTTGCCATCAAGTGTTAGAGAAGCTCTGTTTTTCCTATGGAAGTCCAACACTACTGGAAAAAGGTTCCAACTCCAAAAGCACACAGCTCACAGCCAGACACTGTTATAGGCCCAGGGAAGCCGCAGTTGTCACACTCTGCAGGACTGTCCCAAATGTCATCACATAGAAAGCCAAACAGAACAAACCAATTTGTTTTCCAATTTATTTTCCATTTAAAGTGTGGAGTTAAAAATACTCTCTAAACACTCCTTTTTTTCCCCCCTCAATCACTCTCCTTGCATCTCATTTACATTCTCATTTGAATGACATGCTGTTAAGAAATACCATAAAATATTTCATTTGCTCCTTTATTCAAATATTAGCTGTTGACTTCTGAAGATATTTCATAGCAAGCATGAAACTTGAATTAAAATCTAATTATTACAATAATTCTTGCTTTTAACTAAGAGCATCTGCAAAACATACACAATCTTCTGTATTAAGTTATCACTGAAAGCTGTTTTGAGTTTTCTCCCTGACCTCCCCAGGGAGAAGCAGCTTTTACATTAACTCCTTAAGCTGGTAATTTCCATGTTAGTACCCTCCCAGTGATTTACCTTCAGGGATGAGATGCTGTCAGGATCATAATTTATTACTAATCCTCTCCAAATTCTTAACTAGCATTTCACAGAAACTGAGGAGCTCAGGAACTTTTCAGACTAAATAAATTTTATTTCTTCAGCAACTTCAGTTTTAACAGTCTATTTCATGCTACGCCATTCAGACACTGGGGAAAAACTCAAACAAAAAAAGCAAACACTGCATTTTCCCCTCAAACTACAACAAAAGCTCTTCTCTGTATGTATCACTAGATCAAATTTACTGTGATTTTGATGTTTGAAGCCAGAATAAAATGGAACACAGAAAGCTAATATAATGACAACCATATCAAACTGCAATGTTATCTACCTTTCTACAACATTCAGTAACACAAGTCCTCAATTGTCAGCAACTTTTGTCCACCACAGAGCTTCAATATGTTGTCCCCCCATCTGTCACCTTCCCCCCTAAAATCCCAACATATCAAATGCTACAATACAGCATGGTCTGATAAGCAGTCTGTTCCTTGTTACATTAATAGCTCACCATGTATTTCAGAGTAATACATTAAATCAACCTGGACCTTCAGAGAGGCCCAGAACACTCAATCGATCCTTAAAAAACAGATTTTTAACTGGATTAGTCATTGGGGCAAGTTTGCTAGTTCCATACTTTAAACTGCAGCCATTTACTATCTAAAGAACACCACCTCACTGCATCCCTCCTCCGGTGGAAGCAGGAGAATATGCTTTCACAAAGAAAGCCTAAAAGCACACACATGCTAAAGTGAGCTTTTTTTCTCAGTTTCTACTCAAATTCAAGGCTACCTGCTGACAGTGCCAAAGCCTTTTTTTACCCCTCAACTTTTCACAGTATTGTATATTACCACAATGCAGAAATTCAATTTCAGAGAAGCTATAATCTAATTCCTCACACTGAAGGCCACACAAAGCAGTACTGTTAACACACATTTTAACTAATTGTAGAATGGATAAATGGCACTGCCACGGACTTAAATAGAAGCACTTGATTCATCTGTTTCATGGTACGATTAAATCAGTCAACTGCAGTCACTGCAAGCACAGTATTCCTACTTTTTTTTAGTATTTTGTGTTATAGTAGGCATTCAATGTAAAGCCATGTTTAATTAGGTATGAAAGGATTTGCAAACATATCACTTATTACAATACAACCTTTATTAGACTCTAATTTAGATTTTTTTCCTTCACTGTGTGAATATGAGTATACAGAGGACCAGATACACCTTGCCTTAACCTTCCTTTAACATACAGTTGCAACACTGGCACTGAAAGAGGCTGAAGACATGCAAAAGTCAGGGGAACATAGAAAAGATTTCAATTACGTCTGTACCACAAATCCTCAACTCTTCACTGATATAAACCAAAGGTCTGAGATCACCTCTATCCAGAGATGCAGGAACTGAGATATACATTGTGTCCCCATCTATTCTTTTTCCATCATCTGCTAAACATTTGTGGAAAACTTTGAAATAGTTGCTTTTGTTCTTGTGTTCACCCCCGTATAATAGTGTTCTCTTTCCATGCTTAAAAAAAAAAAAAAATCTATGACCGATGATCAAACAGTGGTTTGATGACTAGGCACAAAACCCTCTCACTTTTGGAAACTGGGACAAACAATTTGATAGGCATGCAGAATGCTATCTGAAAAATGCAAGAGCCTAACTACTTACTTGTCAGATGTCTAGAGCCAGAGACAAGCATTACAGACAATGCCTCACAGGCTTGCCTGTGCACTAATGCCTTTATCTCATCTAGAGGTGAGTTTTATATCAGGCTAACACAGCAAAAAAACCCCATAACACCAAGAAGTGCGAAGCTACCAAGATAAAGACAGTTACTCCCTTCCAGAATCATGTGTCTCTTCCTCTGAAGTGGAACAATCCAAACTGGTAAAGAAAGACTACAAGCTGGGCCAATCTCTCCCTTAGACTTACGGAAGTGCCACAGCCCACTAACTTCTCACTACTGAACTAACTTTTGCATTTTGTCATACCACTGGAAAAAGTCCTGCCAGCAATAAAAACTGGAATGCAGGTACATGGCATTCACATGCTGTCAAGGTCACACTCTATTCACTCTTCAGACCATAATAACAGCATTGCTCATGCTGTTAAGAAGTGGAAATCACTTACATATGGAAGCCCGACCATCACTGATAGTGGGCAAAGTGTTATGAAAGCACTAGAGCATTAAAAAACCTACTCCTGATCCAACTTTGAAAACAGACCTTGTAATAGGTGGTTTTCACTGTCTGCCACATTTGTACAGTCCACCCATATATCAAAACCAGCTCACTGTTTAGGCATAAGACTCTACAGTTCCCTGCAAACAATGACAAAAAAAAACTCACCAAGGTTGATAACACCCCCCTCCTGTGTGAGCTCATCCCTAAACCTTCTATAAAATGGCTCATCCCTTTCTCCCGCTTTGCCTTAATGCTTACCTACTCTAAAACAGAAGGGATAGTTTCAGAAGGACAAAATGCAGCAGTTAAAAACAAAGGAAGTCATAATTTCATGCTCCAAGCATTTGCATGGACAGCTCAGTTGAAGTTTTCAAAGGAACAAATAAGCCTGAAATCTTAGTAAACAAGGTATTCAGACAAGACTTGCTCATGCTTGATGTTTACTTCATTTATCACTCAGTATCTGTATAAGTCCTAAATACATTAAGACTAAGTCATCAACATTGAAGACCAAGGTATTGTCTTCATCTGAGAAAACACAACACAGAACACTGAAGTTATTGAACGCTGATAGAAGCCACATATTTCCAAGTTCAGCTAGTGTTGAGGACAAAAGTGTATTGTAATACTCAGCTGAATGGTGCCTACAGCCAATCTGTGCTCAAAAGTAACAGCAGAAGCAAAAAATATCAGCAATAAATTGAAAAACCTCCAAGAATCACAGAATCATTAAAGTTGTAAAAGACCTCCAATATCATCAAGTCCAACCTTTGGCTGCATACCACCATGTCCACTAAACCATAGCAGAAAATGCCACATCCATCCACATCTAGGGTTTTTCTTACACATCGTGAAAATAAAACAAATTTACTGCTGACTGAAATGTAAACAATCTCACATTTTAGATCTTTATAGATGTTTGCTAACAGTTATAAAAACAATACTTGGTTGTTTGAACAAAACGCTGATGTTGTTCTTCCAGCTAATGAGTTTGGCCTTAATGTTACTCTCATGGAGGTTAAAATAACACTACATGTGCTCTTCAGTAATGTAATGCAGTTGAACAAGAGATTAATCTTTCCTACTATACTTCAGGAAAACAAATTTAAAAGCTGACATTATTACAGGCTAAGTGAAGGTCTGGGTCTTTTTTGACCATCACATGACATAGATGTCAGCAAGATAGCCTGAATAATTTAATGACCCATGTCATTTTAAAAAAGGCTTAAAGTAATAAAATTTATGGTCTGTGTCAAGTTAAAGTACCTAGTCAATGGGCCTAAGAGCAATTCAGCGCACCTAAGATACCCACTAGCTGATCCACCCAATTGTCCTCCTACCTACTGCACAGACCCTGATGACCACCGAGCTGTCAAGGTTGACCCATCTCAAGAACCTGTACTGAATTGCCTCACATAATTCTGCTACAACTTACACCAGCCAGAGAGACAGAAAATCATTAGCTATGCTTGTTCCTCAATTAAGAGTTTAAAGGTAATATTTAGCTTATCCCTTATCCCCTTACCCAATTAAGACAAACCCTCTTTCTTATATACTTGTTCTAGGAGAATTTCATACACTTATAGCCTGAAACAAAACACCTCCTTGGGTAGCAATGCTTCAAAATAATTTTTCTCATGATCTCTTGCTACAGAGGCATTTAAGAGTTCACAGCAAAGCTACATGGGAACAACTTCACTATGCTAAAGCCAGGATACAATGGAAGATAGTTATATTAGCAAGGACATGAACTTAAAGATTAAAACTTACCAGGAAAACAGAAGATACATCTAAATATCATGAATGAAAAATCTGCATAACAACTTACTGTGTAAGTGATAGCCGCCAGCATTCCAATCACAGTCAAAGAACTAATGGAAAATGAAAGTGCAGTCAAGCCATCTGCAAAAAAAAAAAAAAAAAAAAAAGAAAAAAGCCTTCTGAAAATACTTACAGCAGATGTATAAGAACCCTTCTTCCTGAATTGGTTTATGGATGAGATTTAAGTTCATGAGAATAAAGAAAAAAATTGAGACACAGTTACCAGCCATAACTCAGATGAAATAGTTACCTAGCATAGCTTTTTATCCACAACAGATCTTCCTCGCACATTGCAGGAAGTGGGACAGACTCACAGAAGTTGCATTCAGTCAAATGGCTGAAGAGCCACTAATGAACTTGGTCCCATAGCTGTCTAATGATTCTTCAAGACCTACTGCTGGCTTCCCTAGGGTGCTGTGGTATGCTTGCACAATTTTTACATGCATTCTGGATGGTTAATCTTAATTTTCTTTATCACCTAATTTCTCCTACTAAAGTATTATACAGAATCGTCAAGTATGGATTCTTCAACCAACCAAAAAAGGCCAGGCTGCAGGCCTCAGCTTCACCCAGTGGACATGCAGACCTACAAACTGGAAGAAGTTCAGGGGACTAAAGAGTTACTGTAGCCTTATTATCATTCTAGAAATGAAAAGGGATAGTAAAAGAGTTACCAAACAAAAAGGCAATAAACTCCCTGAAACCTCTTGCATAATGCTTCACAACAGGCCTGTCCCTAACCTCACTGTGCAGGACACATCACAAGTGGTTTTGGTTAAATAGTAACACGGAAACTTATAGTAGATATTACAGAAATTAACCTTCAGCAATCAAATTCATATTTCTGCCTGGTCATAACCAAGCCAGTATTTAGAGTTCTCCCCTCTAGTTAATTCAAGAATTTAGAGTACAGTAACTTTTATTCTTACTCACATAGAATTACTAGCCAGTTTCCATTCTTATTTTCTGAACACAGCACCAAGCAGTCATAAACTGAGATCCTCCATGAGAAGCTGCATCTTTCTTCTGACCAACCCTACAGGCCTCCTTCCTAAACTAATAGAAGAGCACAACCAAATCCAACTTCACAGCTCAAATCTCTCTTTTGCTGTTTTTGCCACATAATAGCAAACAACTTTCCCAGCTAAAAGCAATATGTCCCTAGATTTCAAATGCTAAAGCTATGTTTAAAACTTATAAAAAACCCTCCAAAAAAAAAATAAATTCACAAAACCAAACCCTAAGCCTAGCACTATTCTCCCTTCAGTACTTGTGAAAATTTGACTTAGTTTCTGAAGCTCAGGGAAAAAAAAAAAAAAACAACCAAAGGAGTGACCTCTACTTGCAACATATCACACAATGTACTTACATATTTGATGTTCTTTCTGTACAAGTATTTGAAACCAACATTTAATATCCATCTTAAAAGTCTGAACTATGCTCAATGGAACATTAAGAAACTAACTAGCTGAAAAACTTGTATACTAGAAGTATATTATCAGGCTCTGCCTCAGTGGATGAGTTTGTATTCCTTTTATTATGCCACTACTAACTGATGATGTTGGATACTTGTTCTCTATCTTGATATCTTTATATTTCTTTGGTCCACTGCAGATAGGCAAAGGAAAAGGGTAAATTAAGATACAACAGGGACAACAGGGACAACAGGGACAACAGGGACAACAGGGACAACAGGGACAACAGGGACAACAGGGACAACAGGGACAACAGGCAAGCATTTTGACCTTATTTCTCCAGCAACTGGAACACAAAAGAACCTTCTCCAGGCATTTGCTGAGGCTGGGGAGCTGCCTCTGGCTCTCCAGTCCGAACACCTGTTTGGTCTCCCACAATTTGCTGTCTGTGGAGTAGCTCTACAAAGCCCAAGGTGGTCTTGGGAGACAGCAATCTGAAGATAAACCAGCAGTGTGCCCTACCAGTATGGAAGTCCAATGGCATCCTGGGCTGTATCAACTGGAATATGCCCCTCTGTTAAAGGATGGGACCATATAAGGAATGCTGCAGCCACCTTTGAGGCCCCTGCTACAGGTAAGATTGACAAATCTCAGCAAGTTAAGAGGAGAACTAAGTTGGTCAGAAATTGAAGCACATGCTGTGCAGCAAAGCTGAGGAGCCAGGCTTGTTCAGCCTGCAGAGACAGCTTCAGAGACACTTAATGCAGCCTGTCTGCTTATCAAAGAGGTGGGGTCCAGGGTCTTCACTGGTGCATAGTTGTCCAGTGTGAGTCAATGGGTGACGGCATTAAACCCACATTGGGTAAGAGGAGAGATTCTTTCACAATGAGATAAATGAGTTTCCAAATGTAGGGGGTTTTCAAGAGCTACCTGATAAAGCCCTGAGCAATCTAGTCTGACCTAACAGCTTCCTTCTTGGTGCAGGACATTTGACTAGGTGATCTGAGGTCTCTTCAGCCTGAATTATCCTATGAAATTTCAAGTCATAAGAAAATGCTGATGGAGTCAGAACACAAAAACAGACTTCCACATCCCAACCCAGTATCTTAATCATTATACCTTCCTCAAAATAATTATTAACTATACTATATTTTCATAGCAAAAACAGATACAGAGATAAATATTTCATTACAGTCATATCAAGGTAGCCTGGAAAAATCAGCTTACATCTCAGCTCAACCACTGTCAGTATCTGTATAAACAATCTGAGAAGCATTTATTCCTACGCTGTTATAATCTTTGCGAAGCAAGATTAACACAAACAAGCAGACAGCCAAAATGTTCAATAAGCTATGGACTTGTCCTCCTCATTTATAGCACAGAGCATATTATGATTAAAGAGTCTGCAAGGATGTAAAAGCAAACAAGAAAGGTTGAGTATTTAAGTGGCAAGAAGAAGATGAGGCAATATAGGGGCCTGTTGTTGAGTGGGGCAGGGGCCCTGGTGATATAGAACTTTTCCAGGACTTTTCCATGAAAAGTCCGAGTTACTAAACACCTTCTTTGCCTCAGTCTTTTACTAGCAAGACCAGACTTCAGGAAACCCAGACCTGAGAGCTCAGGGAAAAAGGCTGTAAGAAATATGTACTCTTAGTGGAAGAGGATCAGGTTACAGAATACTTCAGCCAGCTGTACATACAAAGTTGATGGGCCTTGAAGCACTGACAGAGCTGGCTAATGTCATTGCAGGGAACTTACAGTCAGTACAAAATTCCTAGAATAATGCAGAACGTGACTTGACAAAGGCTTGTATCATTAGATTCTAAAACATTCACACAGAAGCCAATACTCTGATACATAGAAAATGAGGTTCAAGATATTGGAGTACCTAAGCATTGGGATTAATGTTTGCTAGACAACTTTTAGTTATCTTCCTTTGGAAAGCAACGTGAAATCTGTCTTATCTCACCTACAAAACACTTCCTTCACACTTCTTCCCCGAAAATGGAACACATGAATTGCACTGGCTAAAAACATGAACTGCACAAGCTAAAGGTTAAATACTACTTCATGGAGTTCAGCCTTTGCAAACAACAATTTTAGAGAAGGTCAGTACTAGGAGAAAAAAGAGAAAAAGTCATAACACCCATAGGATTTTCCCATCTAAACAGACAAAGTCACTTACTAGTTTCATTCTTCCAGTGAACAGCAGTACTGCTTTTCATTAGGTACGATTAAAGACTGTTACACAAGATAGACACTCACCATACCCTAAAAGTCAAACTTCAGCATGCAAATAACATTTAAGAGCTGCGTTAAGTAAAAACTATAGAAGAAAGTACCTTCCCCCACACCACTAATATCAGAGGACACAACATTGGAACCCATGCTGTCAAAGGGGGACTGTACTGAAAGCAGACACTGCCAGTGTCTCCCCTCTGTACTTTAAAGACAGTTCTAAATTTTCTCTGAAGAGGAGGAACAATCTTATTGGAAAGACTTAGTGTAGGTGAGCAGTTAAAGTCAAGTTAGAAAACTGTCACAAAGGAAGTTAATCATCTTGTTCAGTCAATGACAAGTGTGCCAAAACAAGTTAGTAGCAATTTATGCAAACCTCACAACAAATCTCAAACTTACGACTACTTCCAAATTCTTCAAACAGGAGCTTCACTTTCTCCCACTCTGTGGAATTCTTCTTGTTGGGAATATCCAAAGGAACAAAAGCACTGTAATACAGAAAAAAAATAATCTTTCTTACCCTAATTACTCAAATATAAAAAGAATTCTACTTCCCAATTAAGAAAATGGAAATCCATTCATTCCTGAAGAACCAAAGTTTTGTGACATCAGGCTTCAAAAATTCTGAAGGCAGTCTTTCATTTTATTTACATTCCCCTAAAATGCTTTATTTAGACCAACAGAGTACATGTATGAGTGTGCAGAGTCAGGTCTGAGGTCAATGAACAAGTGATTTTCTATTTACCAGTCCTAAAAAAGGTAAGGACCCTACACTCAAGTATCATTAAGATGTATTAATCTGATTTACTATTCTGATTTGATCCATATGCAATGCAGAGGAGCAAATAAACTTTAAGCATCGATTGAGACAAATTCTCCTATAAATACACACTTCTTAAAGCTAAAATAAAACAATTAATGATTTCCAAAACAAGCATTAAAATTTAAAGGGACATGTTTATCTTCCATTATTACAACTAAACTAACACATCTGCTGCATTCCATTCTTTGTTCTGTAGTTGGCCCAGAGAAGTTTATTCAAGGTTTTTGATTTTCCAATAAGCAGAGCCTAGCAAAGAACACTCAAAGAAGGATGTCAGGTAGAAGAGTCCTCTAACTGAAAGCTTCATCTTGTCAGTCTGTCCTAGTTAGCACAGCTGAGAGCAGTTCATCATGGTATGGGTGTAACCCAAAACTGTGTATTCTATAGCCTTCCATCCCATTTCCCAGAAACTGTTGTCAATAGACTATTCACACCCTCTGCCCATAAGAGCCTGACTCCTCAGGCTATAAACTAGGTGTTAAGAGGCCTGTGAGATAGGAGGATGCTCTTACCTTTTATGGAACTCCCTGAGGGAAGTACTGACCATTCCTGCCTGAACTAGAGAATATATAAACCTGGAGTTTCAGAACTTTTCAACCACTTGTGGGATCCAGAGGAAGACTGCATCTCATCGCTCTCAACCTCAGCTGGACTGCAATCACCGCTTCTGACCAGACTGCAACAGCTCTCCCACCTGCAGGTTTTTTCCCCTCTCCCTTTACTTTGGACTCAAGCGGGGCCCAGGGAACACCACTTGGTTCATGCCCCCAAGGTACTGGGTTATACATTTGGGTTTTGTGGGTTAAGACCAATTGTTTGTTTGTATGATTGTACTTACTGTATTATTTTAATAAATTGTTATTCTGACTTTATAATCTCTCCTTGGAGTTGGGTTCATTACCCCTGCTGGTTAACTCTTAAACCAGCACACAGTCACACCATCTGAAGTCAAATTATAAGAGTAACTCTTCAGCACCTCTATAGACAAAACAGCTGGTTTTGTAACAGCTGGAAAACCAGTATCTCCACACCAAAAAAACACTGAAATCATCTCTTCGAGACATGAAATAGGATGCCTACAAGTCACAAGGAAGTCAGATTTGAAAGGAAACACTTTAAACAAAGAATGGGAGAACCCAACCCTAAGTCCAACAAGAATGCTCACAAGTATCTTTCACACTTATATAAGAAAGAGTACATTAATTAGATCCCCACTTCAAGTCCCAAACAAATACGCATATCCAGGAATACGTCTCAAACGTCCAAGTAGAAAAAAGATGCTTATGTATCAAAAGTTAGGGCTAAACCAACAGTGTGCTCTTATTATCACACTAAAACTAAACTGGTAGTCTGCAAAAAAGCTGACATTTTAAAAATTAAAATCTTCATTTCTAAAAAATTCTTGATTTGCAGCTTCTTGACTGCACTAGAGGCAGACAAAGGGCTAGCATTTACTTAATTTGACGCATGCTTGTTGACTTTAGATTTTCTTCTTGTATCTGCCTCTAGTAGTGATTCTTTCTGTAAAACAGCATCCAAGCAACATGAAGACATGGGTATTAAAACCAAGTTAGGCAATATTTCTACTTACAAGAGAGATAGAAACACAAATAACTGCAGGTTTATTTGCTAAAAAGGGTTAAAATAGGAGACAGAACATAAGTAAGTTCAAGTCCTTTTTATTTTAGCATCAGTATGGATCTGGTATCTGTAGACCACAGCAGGGAACAAATGAGATGGAAGAACATCTTAGGATACTTAGAACTTGCTTGCCTTTTTTCCCCCAAGAGCAATAGGATTCCCTTTTTTTTTTTTCTGAGACTACATACAACCAGCATGTCAAAGACACTAATCAGAACAGGAGCCACTGTATATGTTATACACACTCTTCAATTATTACTCAGATAAATCTCAACTGAAGGAGATGGACATCTGATTCTGCTCCTGCTCAAGTTCCATGCACAAGACAGAGTTAGCACACCTAGCCATCTACAGACCTGCATCCAGTCCACACTCCCAAAGGATCTCCAAAACACAGCCTATCTATGCCATCAGCACATCACACAGCAGTTTAGGCCTATTCTCCATGCACACTAAGCAAGAAATTTGACAAAAGCCTTGGCTATTTTGCTGGGTCAACTATATGGTCAACGCAGCCTAAGGGCCATAGTAGCCATCAACAGAATGAGAAGTTTCCATGCCAAATAACTCCATTTACCTGTCATCACTGTGATCAATACAGTGCGTGAATAGAGTACAAGCACCAGGGTAGTGTAGCTGAGAATTTAGGTAATGCAAACAAACAAAGCAGCTCAGCTGTGATGTGTGACACTTGGAGTTCTGGACATAAATGAAAGTATTAACTGCAGTAATTTTAAGAGTAGAAGAAAACTGCTATGCTGTTCAAAACACATCCTGGGTATATTATGCTTATGATCTAGATCAATATCTAGGCTACACAACAAGGAAAGTAAATGCAAGATGAGCAGTTTAAAACTATTAACTTTTGGCAGGGCTAATAACACACAGGTGTAGATGGGTAAAGTTTGATCCTTAAATCAAAGAGTGTCACGAACTGTCATCCTGAGGAAATTATTTTCCAACACATTACATTTCAACTCATATCACAGAACTCGCTTTAAGAAAATAATTTGTATAACTATTTATAGGTTAGTTAAACATATATTCAAGCTTTTGAGAAACTAATGGTTCTAGAAAATTTAAGGTAATCAGTTTGATCCCAAACACTGACAGTCATGGAAGCATTCCTTTTAGGACCAAAAACTGATTAGCCTTAAAAGAAAGCATTTTATTTCACACCAGACTGATGTGCAAGTGTGCCTTAACGTAGATTGTAGTATCTCAAGCCCCTTGACAAGCACATGACATTTAGAGAAAAGTTATCTACTTTCCTTTTATTATGAGAAGGGAAAGGCATTACAAGTAAAAACTACTTCTGAGTATGCCAATATAAATTTGTCCTATACTTTGCTCTTAATGGTACTCCACATCAAGTTATTTGCATGCAGAGGATTTAAGCGTTACAGACACACACATCTTTGTCACAGTAATAGACTAACAGACAACTGAAGTAAGAGGTATAAACACTACTCCTGATAAGAATTCAGACAGTAACATCCTGATAATTGAGCTGTGTTACCAATTTAGAAAAAACCTCCAAGGTCATAGCTGTTTTGTGCCATGTTTCCCACAACAGTCCAAAAGATCTCCAGTGGAGCAAGGTCAACATCACAGTAAGAATGCGAGATTCTTAAACTTTGAACCTAATATAACTTCCACGATTTCTTTGAGGAATGTTGACCAGGGAAGAGGCAGGAACTTCTTATGCAGACCTTTAAAGCTATTTATTGACCTGGTTTAATTACACAGATGACTAGCTAAATCAATCAGAACAGAGGCTGTCTGGCTATGAGACGCTAGTCATGTAAGTACAGGAAGACAGACTACTTGCTAGGCACTTAACTGGAAATATTCCAACCCCTCTTGCTCTTGTAAACTGTATGCATGAGTACTCTAGTCCATTAAGCCTAGCCACCTAGAATTAAATCCAGTACATAAAGTCTGTTTTAATGTGGCTTTGATCATGACTGCCAAAGAGAAAATCCCCTCCTACTACCAGTAGGCAGTACTGCAAGACTGGTCTTCACTACCACATTCAGTTGAACCCCTCACATAGAAGCTTCACGTAGAGCTTATCTCTTTCTTATCACACTGGGACTTCTGAGGGCACTCTTTGCCCTTGCTATGAAAACAGTTGACTAACTCTAAGCCAGAAAACTTCTCCAGAAAAAGCATGTAAATAAACACCAAGACACATGCTATTTAAATACACACACATATATATAACTATACTAGAACTAGAGAGTTCACATTTTTCTGTAGCACAGTCACCTCAGTTGCTTCCAAAACTGAGCCTTTTTCTCTTCAAGGGAGCCTTATAGGCTCCCTTAAAGGGGAAATACAGGAATTACATTGTTCTGTAGCAGCATCTTAGGTAGCAAGGGTGTTTTATTCTGAGGGCATTTGGATGATGCTACTATTTTATCATTACCACCTTAAGAGTGTGCACATAACCTACTATGTATAATAGCAGTAGAACTGTTCCAGTTAGAATGAGAAATACCAAAATCCCTATTGGTACCTAAAGGAGTCCTCCCTCTCTGCAGCAGATACTCCTGCTGTTTATCAGTGTTTATCCTGCTGTTTATGCACCTCTGGAGAAGCAATGTTCAGTAACTTAGTCCAAGACCAAGTACTACAGCTCTGTGGTTTGCAAATCAATCTCACTGTCATATGGCACAGTATCAGAGGGGATGATGTAAGCTGCTGTAATCTACAAGTTTTGTAGACCTTAAAGAATAAGCCTAACTGCACAAAGGACAATTAAGAAGTCAAGAACCAAGTTCTATCTTACTAGGAGAGAAGAACAAACATGCTTACAACTACTGAGGATTCAGCTGACACCTACTAGAGATAATACTAAATTTTCTAAACTGGATATGGTATACAGTACATATATGTATGTCCATGATGTGAGCCAACAGTCAGAAACAGCTTTTTTCAGAAATTTTAGTAATATTTCTAGACCATGATTAAGCTGACAACTCCTTCAGTCTCTCATAACAGCAAATATGCTGTTATAAGACAATAAGGACAATAGACTTGTTAAAAACATACCTTTAATATTTATCAAAACTAAAACATTATGCCAATAAGATGGCATACAAATAGAACCATTAATTTCACTCTAGTTTCCACTTCACGCTCCGGTACTTTGACATGGATCATTTTAGCATATATTTTGTAATCTTTACCAACTTCATTGCTGCAGTCAAAATGCTAAAAAGCTTATCACACAGCAGACATTAGAAACATTCCATATTGGTGTCCATGTCATACTTAGTGGTGATCTGAAACTGAATTTGTAATACTGCTTGGAGTTTCAGAACAATAGCACTTGCTGCAAATAAGTTATTCACTTCAGTAACATCTGCCTTTCAAATAAATGCCAGCAAAATCTTTATCATACAAGGCAAAATTACACCAAGTATAACTCCACACTATACTTACATTCCTTCAGAGAACACTTCCATTTAAGAAAGTATAAGCACATAACTCCTAATCATATCCTAAAAAACTGTTTTGCCATGAAGCATTTGATAGAGGCAGAAAACAGAACAAGCACAGATTTTTCACTCCCTGTTGTACACCGAGGTAACAATGTGTCATACCCATCACGTCCTTGATATACATTTACAGTGCACATACTGTCAACTTGGAAACACAGGTATCTCCACAATTAGGAAACCATTTTAGCTTCCACTTAAACTCTTTCTTTTCAGGTCCCAGTTCTCAGGATATTTAAACCCTATTAGTGATTAAGCTTCATGATTCATTATACAGACTGAGTGCATCACAATCTTCCCCTTAGAAGCACACAACAGAACTTTGCTAAATAAATCTTGCATAGAACAGTGTTCAATACAAATACTTACCCAATTAAGAGAAGAACTGCACAAACTGTGATGAATCCCAGAGTGTATTTGAGTGCAGTTTTAACCTGCTGTGTATTAAAGAGAAAGTTAATATATTGACATAAAATAAATCCAAAGGGATTTGTCCAAACTATGAAAAAAAGTATACTTAGCATAACAGGTGTTCAGGGAAAAAAAATCTCCATAAAAACCATGAGTAATTTTAGATATAAGTGAAAAGTACACATTCTTGAAGAGTCTCATAACTTGAGAACTATGAACAATGACACAGAATTATGCTTCCATCATAACCTATACACTTAAGCAACTGTGGCCAGAAGCCAGAGTACATTTGTTCAGTACAGTCTAAACGAAAATACTTGATACTTTATATTATGGCTATGATTAGAAGTCTTCTCATGTTAGGGTTACAACTGAGTGGAAGGGAAAACAATCACGATCAATGACTAAAAGGTTCTTCAGAAAAGTATTTTCATTTGAGAAGTTGGCACTTTACTGGCATGCATTTACTGTATACCCTGGAAATTTCAAGCATTTCAAAAACCTTCAGTGCATTACAAATATAACCAAGTGGTTATAGCTTCAGGTAAATTACTACTGCCTACTTCAAGAAAAAAATGCAAACACTTTGGTAGAAAGACACTAAATTTGAGTACTTATCTTGCAATCAGTATAATTTTCCTGTCCTCTTCATTAAAACTTATCCATATATGTTTCCTATTCTAAAGAAAGGCTCACATAAGAACCTTTAACTTCCTGTATATGAAATTTGACTCAAAAGATTTTCTAGAAAGTTTAAAAAATTCATGCAAATACAGATGTTAATTACTTATCTCACTAAAGTTTCATTTCATGCAAGACTACAGTGCTTAGAGTAGACAATGCCAGACTAAGTCTTACTAAGAGCTGCTCCAGTATTCTTAAGAAACTGTTACAACAGACTTAGAAATGGTATTAACACTTTAGTACGTAAGTTAGACAATCATTCTTGCTTTCATTTTTTTTTGGCTGTATTCACTCGTCTTTCCACTGCTCGGTGCATTTGCTAGAGTAAACTTACCAAGCATGTGTTGCCATCATCATCTTCCTTCTCCTCATAATAGAAATAGACAAAGGGAATCCACAGAAAGACGCAGAACAGTATGATCGAGTACAAAGCTAGAAAAAAAAATTTAATTAAGTGAAGAGACAAAGTTACATTGGCACTTCATTTACTGCATAGTAATTCAAAGAAAGAATAAAATATTAGTTTCCTCATTCTGTTATTAATTTCAAGCATTGAAAAGTTAATGAAATTCACTGGCCAGCATATGAACTATTACTGTTTTGTGAACTCCTAAGGACTTGATAGAGTTAACCCTTTCAGACTAAGGATTTAAGATCCATCTTCAACAGTAATAAACAGACTAAAAGTAATAAACTCCTAGAATCACAGAACATGCTGAGTTCCAAGGGACTCATCAGGATCATTGAGTTCAACTCCTGGCCCTCTGCAGGACACCCCAAAAATCACACCACATACGGAGGTGATATGCAGTACTAGCACACTGAGGAAGAGCTAGTGTAGAGGATAGTGAATGAAAGCAAACTATGCCACCTAATAACAAGTTGTACACAGAAAAGATAGATTAAAAAAAAACACATTTAAAGCTATTTTGATCACTGGGCTCAATTTCAGGTGATGTTCTACTATTACTGTAAGTACATTATAGATGGAAGATGTTCTGTCACTGATGACCTCAATTCCCAAAACAAAACAAGCTGTAGCAATATAGTATCATCACTTCACATTCCTTTTTTAGGAACGACTTTTTAGAGGAAGGACTAATTGGAAGTTGCAACAGAAATTTATCTGAGTAGCCACTAAACCAAAACAGTCCTACTGTCATATTACTTTGATGCACAGATGATCATAAAAGAAAGTTTAAACCAGCTAATTTAACAGACATGAAGACTTTCTCATATATGTCTTCACAAATACTAACTGGCAAGTTTTGAAGACATTAGGACAGCTGGTCAAAATCAAATGGCTGATTAGAGAGTGATATGAAAAGGAAAGACCAATTTCAGATACAGAATTTCAAGTTTAAATCTGCAGCTCTCTGTATTATACATTACATATGTTTTAGCACATCATTATTTAGCAAAACCTTTCAATACTTTTAAGTATCTTACATTATAAACACTACACAAGTCCATTAAGAAACTAAAAACCATCAAGCAGTATGTTACAGTCTTTGCACCCCACAAGAAAGGTATTCTGGAATAGTTTACCAAGCCCTCAAAATGTTACAGGTATCACACAACAAAGGCTGCTTGTGCAAGCACAAAAATCACACCATTCAAGGGCTAAGTAAAAATACCCAAGACCTGCGATCTTCGGCTATTTTTCATCTTTGCCTTATTTTGCACAACTACTTGGCACCTTTCCACCACTAACTAATATATTCATCCCCAACCTAAGTTTGTGACCTCTTATCTTGGCTAGTGCACTCCTCATCATACTCATGTACTTCAAAGAAATCTACCTCAGCATTTTTACTTAAGGTGGTGTAGGAGGCAAATCAAGTATTGCCACCTAGAACCTAAATATGAATCAGGATTTTCTTTCTAAAATTCATTACTTCAAAAAATATTTCAAAGTGTTAAAGGTACCTACTGTTTAGAGTGCTGATTTAGTATGGCATCGTAAAAAGAGGAACAAGTTCCCTACTTCATAAATTCTCATATTAGCCAAGAGTATAACATTCTGGGCGCCTCAGTTCAGGAAGGACATTGAGGTGCTGGAGCAGGTCCAGAGAAGAGCAACGAGGCTGGTGAAGGGACTCGAGCACAAGTCCTGTGAGGAGAGACTGAGGGAGCTGGGGTTGTTTAGCCTGGAGAAGAGGAGGCTCAGGGGAGACCTCATCACTCTCTACAACTCCCTGAAAGGAGGTTGCAGTCAGGTGGGGGTTGGTCTCTTCTCCCAGTCAACCAGCAGTAGGACAAGAGGGCATGGTCTTAAGCTCTGCCAGGGGAAGTTTAGGTTAGATATTAGGAAGAAATTCTTTACATAGAGGGTAATCAGACATTGGAATGGGCTGCCCAGGGAGGTAATGGATTCACCGTCCCCAGAGGTTTTTAAGATGAGACTGGATGTGTCACTTAGTGCCATGGTCTAGTAACCACAGTGATGTTAGATCAAGGGTTGGACTTAATGATCTCAGAGGTCTTTTCTAACCCGGATGATTCTATGATTCAGGGCTCTAGAACACCTTAAAAATTCAGTCTCTGAAATGTAGCCTTAGCACACTGTAGAGCAGTAGTCATACTTCTTCAATATTGTGAATGCTTTCAGAAATCAGGCCTCTAAAATCTAATTTTTATAGACTAGGCTTAGACCATAATGCATCAGTAAATCAGGCAAGTTAAGTTACATGCACCATTAATGGGGAGAGTGGGTTGAATCAGTTGGATAGAGCACGGTGCTAATAATGTCGAGCTTGTGGGTTCAATCCCCTAAGGGCCATTCACTCAAGATCTGGACTTATCTTTGTGAGTTCCTTCCAACTCTGAATATTCTGTGAATCAAAGATCAGAATAATCAGCCCACAGAGGTCACCACAAGCACAGAGACATACTCACTTCCAAGTTATACTGCGTTGAATTCAGCATTCCTTACTCATAAGGTACACACATCCATGTTTCTTCCAAGAGGACAGAGGAAGGAACATAAATTCAAGTGACTATCTATAAACTGTGTGGGTAACTTTATTTACAGAGAATCATTAAGGTAACTCTGTTACCATAGTAATTTTATAGGACTGTAACAGAAAAAAGGCAACTTTGTGTTTGCTTTTCCCAAGTAAAATAATTCCAAGACAGACCTTCTTGTTCATACATCATGTGAAATCATAGAACTGCCTGTGAGAATCTTTCAGTTAGAACTGCAAATTAAATTTGTAACTCCCATAGTTAAAGAAGCAAAATATTGCTCTTGCTATTATACTACAAAGGTAACTTTAAAAAATGTGGCCAAGTTCCTGTCAACAAGATAGGAGACTGATCATCTGGGGTTTTAATTTTCAGAATTCATGAAAAAGCAGCATCTTTCATCAGCTCATACAAGTTAGTTACCCAAGGGCAAGCCTTCAATTGCCTGTTGTTCTGCCCAGTAAAAGCACTGTTTATTCCCCAAAAGGCTAACCTTCAAACACCAAGGTCTTGCAGCAGCAAACAGCCAGTCAACTGACAAAGTCAGTCAAGTGACAAAGATATTCCCTTCCCCCTAATTCCTCTGTGCCCTGACACACACTCTTGGCTTTCATTATCACATTTCTACGAACTTCAGTTTTAAATCAGGGACTGCTCTTTGCTCTAGTTCAGAGGTTCAGTTTCTTTTACAAAACATTTTTCTGGGTTCTATCAGAAGCTTAAAGCACTACCACTTGCAGGATGCTTTACTGCATAGCCAGTACAACAACAGGTTCTGCCACTCCGTCAAGTAACGTTCCACAAGAATTCCTTGGTAAGGTTTGTCTGTTGTAAAGGTATTCCTCAGAGACAATTCTTATCTCAAGTCAAAATTATTCACTGTGCTGATCTGAACCATATCAATACAAAGACACCTGAACTATGAGAAAGTTAGACTCCATAGTAGTCTTCAAGTAATTATAGCAATGTTATTGAGTGTTTTGACTGAGTTTTCTTTTTTCTCCTAGCAGTATGAAGGGCAATTAAGAACACAAGGAACAACAAAGAATAGTGAAATACAGTAGGTGAAAGGAACCAAAATATCAAGAACTGGGAAGGTTTCAAGCAGACTATCCAAGACCAATATTCCCTCGAATCCCCTTGAGAGACTATAGGAGCTTCAAGAATATTATGTGATCAGAAGTATCTTACATCATACAAAACTTGGTTTTCCAGATACCATATATTAGTGCATTGCATAACATCAAAACTACTAAGTTGCTTAAAACATTTTGTTATATACTCTCTCACTTTTTCTTCTGAGAAGTCACAAGCTGCTTCAGAAAACATAGAATCAATCTTTCTTCCCAAATCTATTATTTTTTCATCTCATAAAAAATTCTTCAAACAAGTTTTCATCCAAACTGGAAGCAGAGATAACTTTCACTTGAGAAAAGCTAAGAAACACAAAAAAGTTGTGAAATTAAAATCAGACACTTGTTTGAAGCAGGACAGTTAAAGCAGTTCACCAGTGTTTCAATGCTACGATAGACTTCCATTTTATGTTCCGGCACATTGCTTGTAGGAAGATCACACTTATTAGAAGAACGTTTCTATAGATGTAACTCCACAATATCTGCCAAGTACAGCTATGGGGATCTCTTATAGTACTTAGAATGGCTTCTCCTAGGACCAGACCATGAAAACAGTCACATTTGATTTGCACCTATGAATTCCTAGAAGCCCAAGACCTTGTGTCAATGGCTCAGTATCAAATGTTTGCAGTAAGTAGACAAAATTCCATCCGAAAAATACCAAGTACCCTTTTGGATAAATTCTAACTTAAACTCAAGAACTTGAACCTAGGAACCACCATACACTAAATATTGCTGATTAAAGACAAAAAGAAATGGAAAATCTGAAGTCTAGCATAGACTTTGAAGCACACGGGAAGAGATCCCATGGAATTTAGCACCCAGTCCTTGCCACGCTATAGTTAGGAGACACTTAACACATGCAGGCCAAGAGATCTCAGTTTATCTCCCAGGAACATGAGTATCTACCAATGGCATCCTTTCACCACTCACAAAACTTGACCAAAGGACACAGAATGCCAAGATGACTCCAACAGTAGGATTTACTCACTCAAGAACACGGCTCCAGGTTACTGTCAATTGTTTCAACCCCATTCCTTGTGATATAAAGCAAACCGTGTTGGACTGTTTCCAATTATAACACTTTCTGAAAAGAGTTCTCCTTCCAAACAAATTAACATGCTTTTTTTAGAGCATCTGACAACCATGGATCATTCCTCAATCACTCAAGTACTGTCAGACATGTTCTGTTACAGTTGAGTTTAGGACAATTAACGCACTAAGCCACTACAGCTTCAAAGCAATCAGTAGACTGGTTTCTTATGAAAAGCTTTTAGGCTACTGAAATCCCACCTCAAAATACCGTTATTTCAAGCTTTACTCTGAAAATACCTTGTTTATCATTCTACCACTACAAACTCATTCTACTTTTGTACCAGTCTAGCCAAGAAACCACGTGGGTATG